CTCGATCTTCTGATGCACAGTATCGTGAGTTCGAAGAACAGGTATCTTCACCGCGGAGGATATACGCCGTACCAGCTAGCACTGGGACAGAATCCCCGACTTCCGAACGACCTCCTGAGCGACGATGCAGTATCAGGTGTCGGAGTAGAAGATCTCATGCAGACCGCGTGGGATAGGGACACGGCCGCTGCAGACTTTGCGAAGGAACAGTCGATCAGGGAGTTCGCCAGGAGGTCACTTTTCGAGACTACTAGCAAGCAGAGGGTCCGGGAGGCCAACCGTAGCAGGATGCACAGGGAGCAAAATTTCTCGGCAGGACAGTGGGTGCACGTTTGGCGTAGGGCCCCCACGGGGGGAAGAAAAAACATTTTCTCTGCAAAGAGATCGGTGGGTCGGCCCCGGGGTCGCGGTGGTCCAAAGGGGGAATACTGTTTGGATTGCCATGCGCTCTAGGTTGTGGAAGTGCAGCACCGAACAAATCCGCCCTGCCACTGGAAGTGAAGCGAAGGGAGCTGAGCTCCTCTTCGAGCCCGAGATCCGCGAGCTCATCAGAGATGCTCAGGTGGGATGGCGCCGGCGGTGAACCGTCAACCTGGTCACCGCCGGGAACCTCGTAGAGCTCCTGATACTGCCAAGAGTTCAGAGAATCGACACAGAGTGAAAAAAATAGATTTTTCGAAAATCTTAATTTTCGATTTTTTCGATGTTCATATTCGCTCAAGTCCCGGAAGTCAACTCATGCAAAAATGCATCGGGAGAGCTGAGCTGCTGTCAGAGAGGAGTTTGTATGCCAATGCGACGCGCAAAAATCTGCTTTCTCAAAATAAATGGTCTCAGGTGGGACATCAGAGATCCGGGGTTGACGTCCTTAGGGAAGGGCCCCCCCCCCCAGAGGCGTGGGCGGCCCCACTCCCGATTCCCGCCGACGGAAATCACGAGGTTGTTATCCCCCCGGTGCCGAGTTCAGTTGCCCCTAGGCCAGCCGACCCGGGTGCTCCCGCGGGCACAGGAGACACGTCAGCAGCAAGTTCGGCACCGACGCGTGCAACAGGTACCAGACCAAGTGCGCCCCCGCGGGTCCCGAGACCGCTCCAGGGACAAGAGCGTGTTTCACCGTCCGAAGCCGCGAGTACGGACTCGGGGATCCCAGGGCCCCCGTCGGGTCCCCCAGGGCCCCAGGGATCCGAAACCGACAGTGCCCCGAGCCTGGGGGGAGTCTTGGAAGAGAATGTCGGCGCGGGGAATGTCCCACCCGCAGGAGACGATGCCAGGAGAGGATCCCGGTCCCCACGAAGAGAGGACCAGCCCTCGGGAGTAGGCCCGAGCTCGAGGGGACCCCTGAAACCGGTTCCTGCCTCGTCTTCCGATTCCTCTCTCCCTCAGCAGGTGGCCGAAGCCGTTCGTTGGAATCAGAGACTGGACCTTGGCGCCGCTGCCAGAAGACTCCCGACCCTTAGGGGAGATTTTCGAGCGGATCTCCCTGGGAGGGTCCGCAGGCAGGTCGAGGAGTTCCAAGGGGAAGAGATAGGCGAGACGACTCGTAGGTCCAGGAGCCCCATCTCCCGCGCCACCCAACAGTATCAAGATCCGGGGGGAACGGATGCTCAGATGCCAGGGCAGGAGAGCGGCGAGGACCCCCTCACTTCCACTGTCTTCGCCTCGTTCAGCGACTCTCCTGAGTTTGTGTCTGTTTTGGGGGCGGGAGAGGATCCGGAGGGAGCCAGAGCCTATCTGCGTGGTATCAATCGTCAGCTACGCGAGGACGGTTGGAGTGGAGACTGGCGCACATTCTCTAACGGGAATGCCGACGTGATGGTGGGCCCCAGCTCAAGTTCCGTCTCTCTTTCCTTGCTGGTGGGGACGGGACAGGAAGTGAGGTGGAAGGAACTCGACGCTCAGGGCAGGAGAGCCTTCGAGGCCGCAGATGCCAGTGAGGGGAAGGCCATGTTGGAGACCAAAGCTGTCATTGTGCATCCCCCAGACATTGGACGACAGCTCAGGGTCTCTTGCCCGGACAGAGTGGTGAGCTCGAGGATGGTGCGTCGCTGGAAACCCCAGGAAGGGACTTTCGCTCCCCCGAAGGCGAAATCGAGGTGGTGCGTCCGGGGTCGTGAAGACGAGGACACTGCCGAGCTTAAGGTGTATGCACCGACACCACAAATGGAGTCCCTCATGATGTTTCTTGTGGTGTCACTCATGCACGGACTCGATTTGTATGCGGGGGACCTCAAAAACGCCTTTTGCCAGGGGGTCGGGTGTTTGTCGAGCCATGCGACGGCTTGAGGTTAGCCCCAGGGGCCTTGATAGAACTCATAGCTCCGGTCTACGGGCTCGATGACGCCCCCCTCGCCCTCCACAAGACCACTCACGATTTTATGTCCCAGAAAGGGTACCAGAAGGCCAGCATGGAGCCATGCTGGTTCTACGAGCGCGTGGATGGTAGGCTTCGGTCCCAGGTCTTGGTAGAAGTGGGCGACTGGCTGATCGCCGTGGCCCCAGACCTGGCCGAGGAGCGCCTGACCGCGTTCACCAGTAGGTTCAAGTTCGGTAAGTTGAGGAAGGTCGACCAGCAGGGGACTGACTTTATCGGCCGCAGGGTCCGTAGATTGCCAGATCGAGTGCTCCTCGATCAGGAGAAAGACATTCTCGAGAATCTCCATAAGGTGGAGCTCCCCAGGGACCGTAGGTCGAATCACTCCAAGACTTTGCTTCCTCACGAGTTCGAACAGTTTAGGAGTTTGGTGTACAAGCTGAACTGGATCGGAAGGGAGTCACGCGCCGAGGCAGCAGGCGCTGCCTCGATGCTGGCCTCCCGGCTGACCCAGGCTTGCATCGGGGATGTCCTGGAGGCCAATCGCATGGTCGATCACCTTCGAAACACCGCCCAGGTTCCGCTGATCGCGTGGCCTTTTCGTCCAGGAAGAATGGTGTTCGCGACCGCAAGCGATTGCGGAGGGGTTGGGGGACTGGATAGTAGTAAAATTCAGCAGGCCTGGCAGGTCTACGCTGCCGATTCGTCCATTCAGGATGGAAAGCTTTCCAGGGTTACTCCTATCGCGTGGAGGTCCAGCCGGGTCCGACGACAAGTTCCTTCGACCCTCGGGGGGGAAGTCTTGGCCCTGTCAGGGGCGGTGGCCGAGGCAGAGTGGTTGCAGATGCTGTTTTTAGACGTGACCCAGGGAGGGCTTCTGACCGAGCACTGGAGGGAGGAGGTGGGCCCGTACACCGCGCTTCTTCGGCAGGACTGTAAGCTTAATGTTGCCCCCCTGAGCAACGTTCATATAGTCGACGCAAAGGGGATATTCGACACGTTGGACAAGGAAGCTAGCGGCTCCAAAGCCGACAGACGCATCGCCATTGATTTGTCAATTATCCGTTCGGTGATGACGAGAGCTTCAGGAGGGGAAAAAACACACAGACACAATTAATCGACGATTCCCAGGAAAATATGGGAAAATATGGGAAGTGGGGGGGAAGACAAAAACCCAGAAAATATAGGAAAATATGGGGAATCCTTTTATTTGTGTGTATTTATTTGTGCGTCCCAGGGCCCCTTCAGAGTTGGGAGTCAGATACGGTGGGTACCTCACCCGGCGATGCCGGTGGGTGCTCTCACAAAGTCGGACATACAGAAAGGTAATTTGGCCCAGTTCAAGTTGCTTTCCTCGGGCATGTTACGTCTGGTGAGTGAGGAGACGAGCATGAGGAACAGGGAGGACAGAGCAGCAGGGAGAGACAGATCCAGAGCCTATTCCGGGAAGCACCTCCGACGGCTTCACGGTGAAGATCCGGGAACAGGTCCGGCACCATAGCGGCGTGTGGCGACACGACCCCCTTTCCTTTCCCGCCTTTCCCCGGTGGTGCTGGTGGTGGCTGGTGGTTTCTCTTTCTCTCTCCCTTTCTTTCCTCTCCACACGTTGAAGAGACTGCTCCCTCACATTTTGTGTTTTCAGGGAGACGCCTCGCGAGGGCGAGGCAGTACTGTTGCTTGCGACTAGAGCGCGAACCTTGCTCTCTGGATGTTTTCAAGAACCAGTTAAAGCTCAGAAAAATTTGGCTGACTGTCGATTCTGTTGCCAATTATCTAACCCGCGTGAGCTTTAAGACAGTGGGCAGGCCCAGAGAGTTGTATAGCAGGTTTGCAGTCATGTTGTCCTTGCTTTCTGTTCCGCAGCCTTTGGCACGAAGCACCTCTGTGTTGTCAGGTTTTCAGGAAAACCTCGCCCCGTCGTCGCCTAGCGTCAACATCGGAAAGGGTTCTGAGAGCAGTTGGATTCATACATAGTCATCATGAAGCTGCTGGATGGGGGGTGGCTGGACAGCGGAGGGGCTCGATCGCATTGTCTCCATCTGTGCTACACCAAAGCTCGTGCAAAAGTATTGGACACCGAATCAAGTTCGACTGGACTCTACTCCATCCATCGTTACATGTTCAACTCTTCTCTGCTATAGTAGAGCGTACTGCGCTCGATCATGAATCGCGTATCAAGTGAATTCTTCCCCATCAAGCCCGACCGTCCAGTCCGGATCGGACCCGGGCCATTCATTCTGTGTTGTGTAAAAGATGTTTGCCAGCATGGATTCCAAACATTGCAGCCTACGTGTTGCAAGATATGAGTTGCACGCTACGCAGTGCCAGTGCTCACTGCGGCACAAGCTACGTGGTACGACCTATGTGGTGCAAGCCATGCGGCGCAATCGATATATATACACATATGTACGTATATATATACCGTTTTACTGCACGTGTCCACGCCAATGGTCTCATAGCTCAGTTTCCCCCTCAGACTGCGGTTCGCCGCGAACCGCCCGACGCCCCCTTCCCCCGCAGCTGCGCCAAGCCAAGAGCAAGACCCCCGCAGCCAGAGCAACCAAGCGTGGCAGTCCACACTGGCTTCACTCTGGGCTTCACGGGCCAACTTCACGACAGGGAGGGGCGTTTCAGGACCCAGGTCACACTGAACCCCAGTCCGCGGCACCGCGAAATCAGGGAAAACACGCTATACCAACTCCACTCCCTCGTTACTTACTAGCCGTGAAAATGCTGTTAACCTCTCCACCTCTCCACCTCGTTTGCAGTACGTTACAGTCTGCTTTCGAATTGGGAACTATGAGATCACTGCCAGAGCGAAGTATATACCGTAAAAACATTTTTTTCAGCTCTGATAGTGCTCGCAACAAACGCAATCCATGCAAAAGAGCGGCGGCGGCCTGGTCTGCGGGCCGCACGCGCACGAGGTCTGCCACAGCACCCTCGATGTAGATGCGGGCCGTCATGCTGCTGGCCCACCTGCCCTTCACGAGCGTGGCCTCCATGGAGGACGACCGCAGGAAAAGACTGAGGCGCCTCCTCGTCGGGCGGAGTGCCATGAGAAGCGCCCAGGAAGGCCCAGGCCGTGCGTGAGGGCACCGAGCGCGCTTCTGAGCTGGGCGGGCGACCTCCACGAAAGGGCTTCGCCTGAGGGCCGCTGCTGCACGACCAGCCTGAGCATTGCCTTGGAAACTGTTGACCGGGCGACGACGGCCTCTGCAGCGTCCTTGCCCGTTGTGGTCTTGGACGTCCTGATCCGCAGCACGACTGAGTCGCCTCGGTCGAGGACGTCGTCCGTCGTCAACGCAAAGGCCTCGCCACCGCGCAGCAGGCCCTCGAAGCTGATGAGCAGCAGGCAACTCACGTCGAACGCTCTGGCCTCCGCCGCCAGGCCTGCCATGCCCGCGACGATGACGGGCGTGAACGGCAGCACCCGCTCTGCAGGCTCCGTTCGACGCCAGGCCTTCAGCAGCGCCCGCGACAGATCCAGCCTCCGCCGCAGCTTGGGCAGCAGGAAGCACACGCCCGCGACGGTGTTGTTCGCCAGCGCGATGCCCGCACCGCTCTGCCACATCGCCTCCGAATAGCTGGCGACTAGGCTGTCAGCATCCTCCGCTTCGTCGCCCAGGACACGCACCTCCTGAGGGCTCACCCCGTAGTGCCTGAGCAGGTCCTGCACTGCGCGAGTGTACCTCGCTCGGGTCGAAAACCCCACGCGCGGCGAGGCGAGGGCCTGCTGGCGCTTCCCGCGCCGCTTCAGCGCAGCAGCCGCGGCCCGCGCGGGAGCACGGCGGGCCGCACCTCGCCGCGCTTCCTGAGCCGTGAGCCACGCCACAGCTTGCGCGACGGCTCGTCCGCCGGGTTGTCCTCCGAGACCACGTAGCCGACCAGCGGGTACATGTCCGCCGCGATCGCCATGACCATCCAGCGCCTCAGCGCTGGCTGCAAGCGGCGGCTGCTGCTGCGACCCTTGGTCACGATGGCCGCCGCGACCTGACTGTCGACGAGGTGGAGCCACCGCGTGCAGTGTCGGGCCGACTTCCGGGCTCACCATCGCATAGCTGCCAGCGCCGCCTGCAGCTCTCTCACGTTGATGTGCGCGTGCGTCTCGCGCGGCCACGCCATGCTCTTCACGACGCGCCATCGCCGCGCGAAGGGGCCCAGGCTAGAGCGAGGCCAGCTTCTCGGACGGCACGGCAGGCCGCAATCCAGCCGCACGTCCGAGCCCCCCTTCTCCGCGCGGCTCAGGTAGTGGAGGACGAGGCGCCTGGCCTCCTCCGTGTTCGGGTCGCCCGAGCTGCCCTCGAAGCAGCCGCGCTGGCCCCGGGCCCCGCGGCGCTGGCCGACGCGCGCGATCTCTGGCACGGACAGGGGGCGCGCCAAAGCGGACTCCGCCAGGAGGACACGCTGCAAATCCCATGCGGCCGCATAGACGCTGAAGCTGTTCCCGAGCAGGAAGGCCCTGGCGTCTGAGTCGGCCTGCGGGTTCGAGCCCTTCGTGGCTACAGCGGTGTAACCCACATCGAACCCGAGCAATCGTTCTCTCTCCGTGCAGCTTGGCAGCCTCCCTGGCAGCCTCCCAGAACAATCCTGGGCGCGATTTTTCTCCTCGTACAGCACAGCGCGATAGCGGGGCCAGTCGGCCCCCCGGCGCGCTCGCGCCTCGCCGGGCGCCGAGGCCAGGCCGCGCGGCGCCGACGGGAAGCTCGGGAGCGGCTTGCAGCGCATCAGCGTCGGGAAGGGGAGCGGGCGCCCGGCCCGGCGAAACCCCTGGTCCTCCCGCTCGCTGTCCAGCAGCGGCCCGTTGTCTGCCATGACCTCGAGGTAGCAGCCCTTGTCGACCAGGCGCAGCGGCGGCGCCACCTGGAGTTGCCAGCTGAGCCAGAAGAGCCGCGGCCTGCGACACGGCGCCATGACCGACGAGCAGATGAGGTACGGCTTAACTCCCATGCAGCTGGACATGGCCTTGACGTTCTCGTCTGTCATGCTCGCCGCGTTCTCGAGCAGCGAGTATAGAACCGCCGCCCGAACGCCTGCTGCATGAGCCGGAAGATCTTGGGAACCTCGTAGAACCTTCAGCTCTTGCGGCCATGCAGGCCTCCACCGCTCGCGTCGAGCCGCGAGAGGTCCTGGCGCGGGCTGCCCGCGCCAGCGACGCGCGCGTCCACCGTCTCCGAGAACGTGTCAAAGAGGTCCTGCACCAGGTTCTCGCCCGCCCGCGTCACGTCGCCCTAGTCGATCGCGCCTGGCCAGCGCAGCCGGACAACTCGCCTGGCCTTCGCGTCGGTCTCGGCGGCGACATGGGCGACGATTCTGACGGGCAACCTCGAGAGCGACGCCGCAAGGCCGCCGATGCCGTCAAAGAGCCCCACGATTAGGACATTGAGCACCTTCAACGCGAAAGACCTCGGGGTCCTCGGGTTAGACACGGCCCAGGGGCACCGCGGGTCTACAGGTGCTTATCAGCGACCTGGCTCACGGATTTGAGCGCCGATGCCGCCTCCCCGCGGAGGCTCGTGGACGCGCAGACGCCGCCCCCGAACTCCGAGGTGCCCGAGACCGCGACCACCCCCTCAATGCGGGCGCGGAGAGAGGTGGCCGCTGTAGGTTGCAGCGTGAGGCCCAAGAGGAGCTCCTCGACCATTAACGCATGTCACCGGGCCGTCGAGCGCGCCGTCGACAGGGACCATGCAGAGCTGAGGAGGCCGAAGAGCGGGCGTCTGAATTCAAAAGCCCGCACCAGCTTGCCGAGGACCATCGTGCACACCCGCCAGGGCGCCCGCTCCTGCGACAACGTCGCGAGGCAAGGGCAGCGGTGCTCAGCACCTTGGGGCCTGGCGCTGCCAGCCGTCCGCTGACACATCCACGTCGGCCCCCATGCGCTCAACTCGCGTCTCCCGCAGGTGGGCCTTCTCCGCCGAGTAGACCACGCCAGCGCGCCTGTAGCTCTCCCGAACGCGCCGCTGGCAGTCCGCCTCGGTGCCCACGAGCTGCCGCGCCCGCACCTCGTCCACGATCTCGGGCGCGTCGAAGTCGTCGACGTACACCTGCCACCAGCCGGCCCCGCGGCCACTGCCCAGCTCGACGATCGGGCGCGCCTCGTCCTTCCGCCACTCCAGCCCAGGCGGAAGCCCTGCACCCTTGGGCGGCGGCAGGCGGCGCAGCCTGCGGTGAATGTTCTGGAAGACCGGGGGCCGCCAGCATCCACCCCATGGCAATCACCTCGGACGGGATGCACACCCACCGCTCGGGGCGCCCGAAGAGAGCGCGCCAGGGAGAGACCTGTCGACCGCCATGTAGGGGTGCCAGGCCTTGTGGATCCTCCAGACGCAGAAGGCCCCCTTCTGGTCGTCACCCGACCACAGCAGCAACTTGCCCTCGGGGATGTGCAAGGACACCCAGCTCGTGGACGCCGCGAGGAGCGAAGCCTCACCGACATGCGGCTTGAGCAGGGCGTTGCCAGGGACCATGTTCAAGATCAGCCTGGTGACCCGCTCGGCGCCTGGCCCTGGCTTGCCCTTTTTCTCCACAGCGAAGAGCCCGTTCATGAGCGGCTCGCCCCGGACCCTGACGAGCTGGTCCTCGCTCAGCACCGCGAAAACCCCGAGCTTCACGAGGTGCACCGCGAGCTCGCGCCAACCCGCTTCGTCCGCGACGTTGACCCTGGCTCGAGGCATGGGGTCGGGCCAGTCGGCCTCGGGAAGAAGGGCCTTCTCGGGCGAGGCCAGCCACTCGGCAACGTCGGGCTCCACGAAGTCCAGAGCGCCCAACGCCGCGGCATGCTCGGGCTGCGGCAAGCCTGGCGCCAGCTCCGCGAGCACGCAGGGCAACGCCTTGGCCACGGGCTCGCCTGTGTAGTCCACGGTCGCCTCGCTGGGGGCCGCGTCGGCGGCGGGCATGCTCACCTGCTCGAACGGGTCCCCCAGGAGGTCGACGACGCGGGACTTCAGGAACCCCATGGCCTGCTGTTGTGCCTGGGACAAAGTCGGGTGATGCCTCCAACCCTCCTTGCAGCCACCACAGTACGTGTAATTCAGCGCCGTGACGGTGAGAAACAACCAGGCCTCCTCAGCTACCTGACGAGCGATAGGCCTGGCCCTGCACCTGCGCCCAGCATCTCTGCTCGCGCACCAGCGCCTGACAGGCAGGGGCCGCGGCAACAGGTCACTAACGCGCCTGCCGCTCCCGCCAAGTGTGGACACGCGCTCTGCAAACTCTCTCGAGAAAGTCCCCAGGCTGCCAGGGTGGCGCTCGACGAGCTGCACGAGGTGCACTGCCATGGCGACGCTCGTGATGGTCGTGCCGAACTGGACCGTGACCTCGTCGCGCCACGCCTCAGCGTCGCGCGCGGCGCAGCCCGCGGCGGGGAGCCCCCGCATGCCGTCTAGGAGCGAGGTGCTCGCCAGCTCCCGCTGCTGCCCCCCGCTGGGAGGCGCTCCAGCCGCGAAGCGGCCCCTTGCCCCCTCCGCCTCCAGCCAGGGGAAGTCCTCATGCACCAGCAGCGACCCGCTGCTGCAGGTCGGGAACCGCGCCGCGCCCTCCCCCTTTCGGAAGCTGCGCCTCCAGCAGCCTCGGTAACGTCTGCTACCGCCTCTGGCCGCGCGACTCCGTCATGAAGTTCCGCAGCCGCGCCTTGCGCTCCTTCGACGTCCCGCCGTCCTTCTTCGGGCAGGCAGCCCTCGCCGCCTTGAAGTTCAGCGGTGCCTGCGAGCCTCCAGCGGGCAGCTTCTTTGCGGTCTTGTCGAGCTGCGCGACGCGCTGGCAAGGCGGCCTCTTGCCATCCTTCGCGCTGCCCTTCGGCGCCCTCGGGCGGTCGGGCGCGCGATTGCCAAACATCCGCGCTGTCGCGGGCCCCCCCCCCCCGCCTGGCTTGCAGGGGGGGCGACAGCAGCGGGCGCGCCTCCTCCCGGCCTCCACTTCAACTATAAGGTTTGCGAATCCGGCTGCTGAGCTCCTCCAGCTTCAACTCGCCGCGCTCGATGTTGCGGATCATCTCCTCCTCCTCGTTGCGCAGCGTGGTGGGCTCGTCCTTGGCGGGGATCAGCTCGAGCCACTTCGCCGCGCCCCAGTGCCCGTCGCCGACTGCCACCTGCGCCGCCTTCTGCCGCTGGGTCAAGATGTCCAGCGCCTGAGGAATCTTGCCCTGGAGGGGAAAGTCGATCGCCTCGGCCAACGCCCGCATCTCGCGACACGCGGCCACCCCGATCTGCTGCACTGGGTTCTGCGGCAGGTAGAACGTGAGCAGGTACCTCAGCACGAGCGCCGTCGTCGGGCCCACCGCCGCGTCGCCCTCGACGGCGCCGAGGAACTCCGCCATCTGCATCAGCGTGAGCTCCGACAACTTGCCAGGCTGGTCCTGCGCCATCTTCCTGCAGCGAGCCCGCTTGGTCGCAAGGCCCCCCGTGGCCGCGGCCCCGTCGACCCCGCTGGGGGGGTCCGAGGCGGCGCCAGCGCCCGAGCTGCCAGCAGCCTGCGCGGCCGAGTTCTTGAGCACCGCCATGAGCGCCGTCGCCAGCTCCTTCGCGCCCTCGCCCGCAGCACCCCCGCTGGCCGCAGCCGGAGCAGCTGGGCCGCTCGAGCCGCGCGTCGCTTCGGCGCTGGGGCCCTTGGCGAACTTCGCCATGCGCTCCGCGAGCACCTCGGCGAGGCCCCGCTTCTTCGGCTTGCCCTCGCTCGGCGCGCCCTCTGCGCTGCCTAGAAGTGCGCCGGCCGCAGCGGCCCCAGGCGCTGCCGAGGCGAACCGGTCCCGCGCCGCAGCGAGCCTGGCCCGCAGCTCGCCCCGCGCGGGCTCCAGGTCGAGCGGGGGGCCCGCAGCCCGCGCGGTCAGGGCACTGTCGCCGAGCAGCCCATCGAAGGGAGCGTCGTGACCCACGGCCGTGCGATTGCGCAGCACTCTCCTTCTTCGGACGCGCCGCCCGACGTGGAGCGGCCAGCCGCGCCGCACGCGGCCGCAGCAGGTCCACGGGCCAGATCGCATCTGGGTTGCGGGGCAAGCAGTTGGCGAAGACCTCCACGATGTCCTCTGCCTCCAGCCCGCGGGCGTCCGAGACGTGGGCGAGCTCGTCGCAGCCTGCGGGCGCCTCCACACCGCGCGGTTCGTCCGTGCAGACGTGCAGCAGGGCGCTGGGGGAAATCGCACCCGCAACGCATGGAGAAGCCGCTCACCAGTCCCAGTACGCATCGTCGCTGAAGAGCCTCGCGCGCACGAGCTGCTCGGGGGCGGCCATGACCCAAAGCGCCTGCCACACGAAGCCGCACTGCTGCTCCCCGTCGTCGCGGAAGCCTGTGCTCGAGTAGACCGCGTTCGGTTCGATGACGATCGGCTCGGCGGGCGACGGCTCCAGCTCCTCCGGGGCGGCGGCCGCCTCCTCGTCGTCCTCGAGGACTTCGAGCCCCAAGCCGTCGTCCAGAAGCTCGCCGACTGAGGCGACGACGCCGCCTCCGCGAGCAACATCCATCTCCCAGCCTGGAGTTCCATCAGGCTCGGCTCACCGAGCGCACGCAGCACGCCGTGGCACAGGCCGCGCCGCCAGGCCGCGCGACGGGCGTCGCGCAGATGCCACGGCACACTGCGATCCTTGCGCCGCGGCGGGCGCACCACCGCGACGCGGGAGAGGGGAGCTTGATTCAGGGCCAAAACTCACTGAGCCAGAACAGCTCTGGAACGGAGGGTAGACGGCGTAGGGGATACACGCACCAAGTGGTTGACCATACAAGCCAGTATACGGACATATGTGTGTATATGCATATATGTGACGCAGGCTGTGGTGCAACCTGTATGGTGCACGCTACGTGGTGCAATCTACAGCGGACCCCACGCGGGCGATCCGGGTGCCCACCAGGCGAAAACTCGGCGGCCCCAGCCAGCACACGGGGCTCCCACGGGGCGCCACCAGGCGCCCACCGGGCGAAGCTTCGGCGGACCGGCCCAACGCACAGGGCGCCCACGAGCACACGACGGGCGGAACCCCATCGGCCTCGGCCAGCGCACAGGGCGCCCACGAGGCGCCCATGGGCGCCCAGCCAACGCACGGGGCGTTCACGAGGCGCGCACAGGTGCCCACCAGGCGATCCTCCGGCGGAACCAGCCAGCGCACAGGGGCATTCACCAGGCGACACCTCCGCGGACCCAGCCAGCGCACGAGGCGGCCACGAGGCGCCCACGGCCGCCCGCCGGACGAAGCTCCGGCGGGCCCATCGAGCTACTGATCGAACCCAGGAGGAGCTCTTTGAGTGCTAGCCAGCACGATTTGGGGAACGCGCGGGCTACACGCGCGCGTCAAACGGGCACCATCCGTATCGAAAAATACCACGCGGCGCACGCGCGTTGATCTCACACGCGCCTTCGGCAACAATCCTCATCAAATAATTCCATGCGGGCCCCGCGCGCGAGTTGAACGGGCACCACCCCTGCTAAAGACCACCATGCTGGCCATTCGCGCATGCTGAAGGGGCACCATCCTTGTCAAAGAGGGCCTCGCGGGCCGCGCACGCGCGCGCCATTTCCTATCACATGCGTCATCAGGGTGGGCGCACGAGGTCATAGCACTGCACGGCATTGCGAATGGATCAGGCGAACAAGTAGAAATGTGCGACACGTTCTCATCGCTCACACCAGCCACGGACATTTACATGAACGAAAGTTTCGTGCTACAAAATGCGGCGAAGGAGTAACACTTTAGGATCGGTTGGGTGGACGGCGTCGATCCCATTGTACTCTGCAATGTGTCAACCATCCATTGGGACACCTGTAGGGACACCATAAATGTGTAATTGCACGATGCTGCCCTGGTGAGGCTCCTATTCCTTTGAAAGACAATTAGAACTCGATAGACGGCCTATACCTCGGACGACGCCTTGGGGCACGTGCACTCCGTCAACGAATTGTGGTCGCGCCCGGCTCATGAACTTGAAAGTCCTTTTTCCAGTAAGTTTGAGTCGGCGGCAAAGTTCGCGAGCATTGTGTTGGTCATTGTTTTCGTTGTTTGTTGGCCCACGTGAGCCATAGGCCCGGGTGCCTTCGACAAAACATAGTTTTCAATACGGTTTGACTTGGGAAGATGTCAAACGGCATACGCAGACGGAAACATTGAAGATGACAGTGTTCGCTTAGACATGTCCCGCAGTTCGGGTACCCGTGCTGACCCTTCAGTGTCTTCATAGCTTCTGCACCTTCTGGCCGCCCAGGAAATCGACATGGATGACTGGAGAGAAGTGTACGGCACGGTCGTGGGAGTTGCAACGTTCCCTTGTTGCTCGGGCCTGCCAGCAGGTATGACCCGGTTGAATCCGATACGAGACGCATGTAAGCATACGGAGGGCATTGCAAATGCGACAGGAACAGATGGAATATGGAATGGCTATGGAACATGGAACAGAACAGCGGGATTGCGGGCTAGACAATGATGAGGCAGTTGCGGCGTAGTGAAGTGAGTTGGCCCACTCCCCCCCCCCACACACACACACACACTCACACACACACACACACTCTCCCCACCCCACACACGCACAACAGAACATCGCCCCCGCCCTCTCCCGTCGCACACAGAGAGCTGCTGGCGGCAGCGAGCTGATGGGTTCTAATTCGGGGAAGTTGAGCTACCTGCGGCTGGTTCCGTTCAGGTATTCCCTCCACCCTCCTGCCTCACCCCCGTCCCCCCCCCCCGGTCACACCTCCTCGGCGCCGCTGCCATGGCCCCTGACCCATCCCAAGCAGCAGAGAAACGTCTGGCCTGACGTCTCTGGGCCTGCTGACGCTCGATATCCTACACCCCATCCCAGGCTATCGGGGCAACAGCAGTGGTCTTTGGTCGAGCAGGGCTGGCGCTCGAGATTCATCTCCAATTTTCTACTTAAGGCTCGCAAGCGAGACCCTCGCAAGCGGAAACACCCGCGTAGAACAAGCAAGAGAAGGGGAGGAGAAGATTAGCAAGATGAGAGGGGAGGGGCTCAAACAGAAATGGAAACCAAGCGCAAAACATCTCGATCCTCAATCCTCCTCCTCCGCTTGCTCCTCCTCATTTCTCCTCTTCCTCCTCCTTTCTCCTCCTCATCCCCCTCTTTCCCATATCATGCATCCCTTCTCCTCGTAAGTAGTTCCCCCTGCCGCACCAAAACACGTGACCGTGGGCCGTGCCTGGCTGTCGTTGCTAATTTCCAAATTTTCGATATCGGAGTTCACATAGTTCACATGTCCCAACAAACACATAATGGCTTGAAGTTTACGATCCTGAAGCTTACCACCCTGAAGCTTACGATGCTGAAGCTTTCTAGCGTACGGTCCCGAAGCTTATGATCATGCAGCTAAACATCCTGAAGTTTGCGATCCTGGAGCTGTCGAATTTACGATCCTAAAGCTTGAGACCCTAAAGCTAGCTAGCATTCCTGACGAGCGGTCGTTTTCAAAATGCGGGTCTCGCCTTCGTGCCGCGCACAGTCGCCGCAAGATTTTCCAACAGCCACGGGGGTGGAGGACCAGTCGTTTACAAAATGCGGCTCTCGCCTTAGTGCCGCGCACTGTCGTCCCAAAAGTTCCCAGCGGTTACAAGGACGGAGTGCTGGTCATGTTCAAATTACGGCTCTCGTTTTTGCGCCGCACATATTCGTCCAATGAGTTCCCAACAGTTATAAGGATGATGCTCTTGTCCTTTTCAAATGCGGCTGAGGGCTTAGCGCTATGCACTTTCGTCCCAAAAGCGTCCAGCAGCTACAAGGATGCAGAACGGATCGTTTTCAAAACGCGGCTCTCGGCTTAGCGCCACGCACAATCGTCCCAAAAGTTTCCAACAGCTACAGGGATGGAGGACTGGTCGTGTTCAAAATGCGGCTCTCGGCTTAGCGGCCCGCACAATCGTCCCCGAAGCTTCCAATAGCTACAAGGGTGGAGGACCGGTTGTTTTCAAAATGCGGCTGAGGGCTTAGTGCCACGCACAAGCGTCCCAAAAGCTTCCAGCAGCTAGAAGACTGGAGGCCAGGTCGTTTTCAAAATGTGGCTCTCGCTGTTGCGCCTGCACGTTCATGATCGAAGCTACTGGTAGCGACATGGATGGAGGCCATATCGTTCGAATCGCTGAAGGCTTTCTCAAATCCGATGACACGAAGTTCCAATGTGAATCCCAAAACGAACACATCGACAACCACCTAGGCTCAATAGAGACACGTATGGCCAGCGGTTCATTTTCAAAATGGCTTTCCTGCGTAAGACTCCTGCTCATTGAACTTTCTGGCGCTGGGCAACCTTACACGGATGGAGGGCAGATCCTGCTTCAGAGCGGGCCATCGCTGTAGACGTCCGCGAATGTGCTTCATCCTACGTGCCTCTTGGCGGTTCTTCTAGCCATAATCGGTGAAATTGAAGACTCGAGTTCGCCGGAGCTCGGGTTTGCCGACGCTTTTTGACGACCTCGGCTTGGATTTTGACGGTCCAGTTTTCGTGTGATGTTTGCAGCGGGAGCTCGCGTGAACTTTCAGGTCGGGCTTCGCCATTTTCATGATGGCCCCGTCAGGCTAACCCGAGTCCGCCGAACCCGAGTCTCACGTCTCCCCGACATGAGGATGGATGTGGGTGGAAGCGAATCTTTTTTGCAGATTGCGGCCTCGCTCAGGTGGCGGGCCGAGCGGGCGCGCGTGCTTCGAGGCGGGCCCTTCCCGCAGCCGTGGTGTCTTTTTCATTCGTTGTTTTGCAGATAGGCGCGGACCCTCGCACTCCCCCCCTGTCCCCCCCTTGTGAAGCAGCTCTCGGCTGTTTCAGGCGCCTGCTTCGAGCAGGTGGAGCCTCCCCCACAGGACGCACTGCTGCAAACAGTCGCGCTAAGCAGAGGTCCGGAGCCAGACCCCCCCTCCCCCCCCTTCCCCCCAATGTCGAAACGCCGATTTCTTTCTAACCAACAAGAAAAACCCTCACATGCAGCCTCGCCCAGGTGGCGGGCCGAGCGGGCGCGCGTGCTTCGAGGCGGGCCCTTCCCGCAGGCGGCGGCGGTACGTGTTCGCAGGGGCTCCCGAGGAGGGGAGGAGGAGGAGGAGGAAGAGGAGGGGCCGAGAGCTCCGACGTAGTCTTCTCCCCTCCTCCGACGGCCTCTCCGCCCCGTGGGGGTGAGCTGCAGCCTCGTAGACGCCTCTTGGGCTTGCTCTGGTCCTCCCCCGTCATCGGCGGGGGGGGGGACCAGACTTCGGCCCCTTCCTACCCTCCTCCTCCTCCTCCTCCTCCTCCTCCGCCTTCTCCTCCTCCTCCTCCTCCTCCTCCTCCTCCATCTCCTCCTCATCATCATCCTTCTCCTCCCTCGACTCCCGACGAAGAACAACGCCATAAACATGAACTGCTGGATCTGCGGGTGGATGTGTTGGATCTGCGCTGGAGCGCGTATGTTTATGTGGGTATGTCGATTGTGTCTGTGTTATGTGATGCCGTTGTTGTGTCTTCTGGACTCTCTCCCTCACCTCACCTCCCCTTCCCATCATCCCCCCTCGACTCTCGAAGAAGAAAACACGCCATAAACAGGAACCTGCTCCGCGCGGATGGGCCCTGGCGGCGCCTCTGACGCCGCCCCTGGCGCGCTCCGCGCGTCAGGAGGAGGGTCCAGCGCAGATCCAAGAAATCCGCGCGGAGCGCCACATGTTTATGTTTATGCCGTTTTCTCTTCTTCTAGATTCTTCTCCTCTCGTCACCTCCCCTCCATCGATACTCCACCTCAGCCACAGGTCGAGGAGGTGTACCGCGTCCCGGACCCGCGAACGGGGGCACCCGGCGACCAGGGTTACATTCTGTTCGAGGCGCACGAGTCCGCCGCCAGGTGCGTGGAGAGCGGCACGGGCGTCTGGTCTCATCCACCCCCCTGGGAGGGAGGAGTGAAGAGGGCGGCGAGGAGGAGGAGAGGGAGGAGGAGAAGCTTGAGGAAAAGGAGGAGGGAGGAGGAGGAGGAGGAGAAGGAGGAGGAGGAGGAAGAGGAGGAGGAGGAGGCGGAGCAAAATAATGGAGGTAGGATGAAGGGAGGAAGCAGGCGGAGGGAGGAGGGAGGAGGGGGGAATGCCAGAGCAGAGCGGGATGGAGAAGGATCTGAGAGGAGGGTGATGGATAGGTAGGAGGAGGAGGAGGAGGAGGAGGAGGAGGACGAGGAGGAGGACGAGGAGGACGAGGAGGAAGAAGGAGGGAGGGTGATGGATAGGTGGGAGGAGGGAGGGAGGAGGAGGGAGGCGGGGAGGAGGAAGAAGAGAGGGAGGGGGGAAGGGAGGGAGATGGAGGAGGAGGGAGGGAGAAGGAGGGATGAGGGGGGAGGGCCGGAGGGAAGAGGAGGTAGGAGGAAGGAGGGATGGATAAGGGAGGCGGAGGTAGGAGCAGGGAGGGAGGGAGGGGAAGGGGGGGGGGGGGGGACGGAGGGAGGAGGGGGGAGGGAGGCGGATGTAGGAGGAGGGTGATGGACAGGGAGGAGGAGGAGGAGTGCAGAAGGGCGCAATGCATTCTGGACAGCTTCGGGGTTGAGAGGAGAGTAGTATCCATATCGGGAAAGTGCGAAGAAGAGCAGGAAGAGGGAGAAGAGGAGGGGGAAGCAAGAGAGAGGAGGGCGAGGAAGAAGGGGAAAGATGGCCAGGAGCAGGGGAGGAGGGAGGCACGATATTGTTCTAAAAAGGTGTAAGCCTTCTTCCCGTCACCTGTCACATGTGTACGCTTCTCCTCCGTTTTCGACTTATTGTCCTTCCGCTTACTCTTCACCCTTCTCTGCTCGGTTACAGTAGCGGTCCTTGTACTGGGTGTCTTCCTCCTCCTCCTCCTCCTCTTCCTCCTTCTCCCAGTCATTGTCATCGTCCCTTTGTTTACATTCCGCATCCTTCCCTTCTTGTCCACCTCACCATCATCATAATCCATCTGGTTCGCCTCATCCTCGGCGTCCTCGTTGTCTTGGTTTTTCTTAAGAGCTCCCTTGGCGCTTTTACCGCTTAACAAGGAACAAAACCAGCAACAACAAAAAACGGGCTCTGCACAAATAAAGCGTAAACAAAAAATCAAGCGAAAAACGCGACAGTGGTTTAACGTTTTGAGCTAAGTGTTCTGCATTGTTCGGCCCGTCACTGTGCACCATCATTTGTTTAGCGTTGTTCCTGGTCGAAGGCTGTTCCCTGTCTTCCCTGCTGTCTTCGCTTCCGCCTGTTTCTGCCACCGTTCTTCCTCCCAGACAGCTAAAAACGTTAAAACAACGCTCTAACACCGGTCTAACTCCGACCCGAAGCAGGCTTGGAGGCCCGATGGCCCCAGAAGGGGCAATCGGCCATCGGGCCCGCCAGACTGCAAGCCAGGAGAAGGATTGCACGCCAGGAGGAGGAAATGAGGACGTCGCACATGGCAATGTTAACAATGTAACCATCTGAGCACGCCCCCCAAAAACAGCTGCACACACAAGAAATGATGAGTTCTTTTTTCGTCACGTTTTCAGTTTTCTCGTTGGGACCTGAAATCGCCAATTAATGAAATGATGTCCAACACGCCGGATTTTCGATGGTACCGAGAACCCCCTTGTCATTTTTAAGAAGGGCCAGACTCTTTGTCATCCTCCCCATATACCCCCCCTCTTCTCTCAAGGGAGGATAAACTACCCGGACCCGACAGATGGCGCTTACTAAACGGCCTTGGGCGTCTACCCTGCCCTGTTCGGCTCCCTCCGTGATTGCGTTTACCAAACGGCTTCGCGTGTCGGGGCGATCGTTATGAGGGTGGATGTTCTACTCCTCGCCTATCTCCCCTATCTCCCCTATTCCCGCTGATCCTCCCCTATCTCCCTCCTCTTATCGGCCGCATCGCTCGGTGGCCTGGCTCGTCTTCCTCTGGCGCTCTCTCTCTCTCTCTCCCTCTCTCTCTCTCCTTGCGCTCCTCGTCCTCGGTATCCTCTCCGAGTCTCCTCCTCGTGCTTCTTTCGCTTCTGTCCTGGGGCAGACTGGTCCTAGATTTCTCGATGGGTCCTGCTCTGTGTCTGTCTTGTTTGTTTGTTCTCTATCTCTCTCTCTCTCTCTCTCTCTCTTTCGTTCTCGATGTATATATATATATATATATATATATCCATCTCTCCTCCTCTCTCTCTCTCTCTCTCTCCATCTCTCTGTCTCTCTCTCTCTCTCTATATATATATATATGTATATATATATATATATGTGTCTCTGTCCCTCTCTCTCTCCCTCTCTCTCTCTCTCCCTCACTCTGCTTATTATCATTTCTCTTCCTTGCTTGTTCCTCCATCTCCCCCCATCTTCTTTCTCCTCCTGGTTCCTCCTGGTCCCTCATCTGCCCTCCCCATCCTGGCGTTTTCTCTTCCCACCTCAGCTATTATCTATCAGTGCTATTCTGCTCTCTCCCCCGAAGATGGCCAGGGTCTCTTCCGAAGATGCTGGGGAAGTGGCCCGCCCACCTCCGCGCAATTGCTGTTTCCACACAGGGTACGAACAGTCGGTATATTAGGTGGCTAGTCCCTGACTCAAGTACGGGGTTCTTGTTATCATTGGGACGCTTCCACTTTCAAACCCCCGCCTGCTCCCTCTCATCCCAATACGATCACTGCTAGTCAGACCCGCTTACACTCGGATCACGCACACGCAGAATCATTCACACTCAGGGCTCACTCACACTCAGATGCACTCACGCGCAGACTCACTGACACTGAGACACTCAAACTCAGACTTCACCAATATGGGAGGCGTGGCATTTGAGGATGCAGATATATATGTATGTACATATGTATGTATGTATGTTTATATATACACACATATATATATATATACACATATATATGGTCGTTTTCACAACTGGGTGCTGAGCAGAGGCTGAGGTCCGACGTACTCATAATTTGGCTCTTAGTTTTTTGGGCCCCAGCGCCCCGCGTCCGTGATCTCCGCCCGCAGCGCGCTGGTGCCGGAGCTGGGGCGCAACATCGGCACAAGCATCGCCGTCTGGGCCGCGCGTGGCGACACAGCCGTCCGTCCGGTGTGCACCTGCGAGCCCACCCTACAGCGCCCCGACCTGAGCTGTGACTGCTCGGGGCCGCGGGCTGGCGCCGAGGCGGGCCCCTCCACCGCCGGGCTGGTGACCTGCGTGGTGGGTGCGGCCCTCGCTGGCGCCCTCGCCGGCGCTGCGGGCGGCTGGGAGGTCCTCGCTTCCGCGGCCATCACGCGGGCTCGTGCGCCGTCCAGCTGGAGCCACACGAGTGGAACGAGGTGGCCTGCGCGCACGTGAGGGCGCTTCGTGAGCGCGCCTTCGCATTGCAGTGATGGCGGCGCCTGGTTCTCTGGCGCATCTCTCGCTCGCGGCGGCGTGCGTGGCGGTCGGGTACCTCGTCGGGGTGCAGTACAGCGTCGTGCGGAAGGCTCTCATCCACGAGCACATCGTCGTGGCCTTGAACCCTGCCGCCCCCGGCGCCGCCTCGATCATCACGGTGGATGGCGACGAGATCGACGAGCAGCTCCGCAGCACGGCGGACGTGCGCCACTGGGACGTGCTGCCAGGTGGATCACCAGGCGGGGTTTTCTCATGGGCGCCGGCGGCGCGGTACTACAGATTCAGGGCCATCCCCACGGCGGCCGCTCGGGCGGCCGCAGCTGGCCGTGCCTGTTATCGCCGGGGCCTGGCAGCGGTTGCGGGACCCGCGGTATCAGGGTGGCCACAGCGGCCGCACCCGCGGCGACGGCGGCGGCTGCCCTGGCCGCACTGCCTGGCGTTGCCCCAGGCCCTGTGGCGGGCGGCCGCGGCGCCCCAGGGGCCGCGCTCGGGGGCCAGGCCGGCGGCGCCGCCGGAGGCGCGCCCGCGCCGGCCCCAGCCGCTGCCGCGGCGGCAGCCGCCAGCGCCCCTGCCGCCCCCGGGGCTGAGGGGGCTCTCGTGGCACCTGCCGGCCCCGCCGCGCGGCCCGTGGTGATGACCGTGCCGGGGGCTGCCGCGGCCCCCACCGCTGGCCCCCTCGCTGAGGGGCCCGCGCCCGCGGGCCTGAGGGCGGGGCCGCCACCCGCCAGCCCCGGCGGCGACGCCCACATCTCCGCCATCGTGAGGGATGTACGAGGTGGCTTGCACGCGGATTTCCGCATCATGGTGGTGCTGATGGTCGGGCTTCCAGGGCCTGAGCGGACAGCGCGCGGGCCTCGCACGCTGCTGAGGGCGACGCGGTATATGGCGCACCGGTCGGTGACTCCGACGGCTCATCACCAGCAGCGGCTGGCAAAGATGGGGCTCGGCCTAGAGTCCCACGGCGTGGAAATCTACCAGATCGGGTGCATGGTCATTGAGTCGGCCGTCGCCTGCGACGCGGTGCACGTCGCGAACTTGGGGCACCTGGAGCTCGCGGCTCGTTCGGCGCAGGCGCAGAAGGAGCTGCGGCGGGAGATGGCAGCGGCGAAGGAGCGGAGGAAGGCGCGCGTGGAGCACGCCCTCGCCGGTGGCGTGCCAGGCCAGCCGGGCGCAGGGCGCTGGAGGGGGCGACGGGGCGGCCGCGGCGGCCGGGGCGGCTCGCCCATCGCCGCCGGGGCCAATGCCTGACCTGCCCCGGGGCGGATGGCCCGGCCAGCCGCCGCCCCTGCCCCACTCGGCCATCGCGGGTCCTGCCACCAGCGCGACCCGTTCCCCTGGCGACGCTGAGCCCCGTCCGCCGGATGAGGGCCGACATCGAGACCTCTTCCCCCTGCCGCTGCTGGCTGCTGCGGGCGCGGCGCCTGGGTCGTCGGGGACTCGGCGGCGAGTTCGAGCCTGTCACGCCTTCGCGCACGCGCTCGGTCGTGCCAGCGCCGCAGCGCACGCCTTGAATTACCTCTACGGCGACCAGTCCTCGCCCGCGCCGACGCTGTCTGCCGGGCAGCGCTGCGCCGCCGCTCGCATCTGGGGCTCGATCGTCGCCCTCGGCCCTGAGCCGGAGGCGTGCCGTGACGACGTCTCAGACCCCAACGGGGCCCTCCAGGAGCTCCTTGCTGGGCCCGCGCTGTGCCCTGACGGCGGCGGGACTACTGCTCCCTACGTGCCAGACCTTGTCTCCTGGCCGGGCGCGTCGCAGCCTCCCGCGCCGCTCCCTGGGTCCTTGGGCTGCTGGGAGAGTGAGACTCCGCCGCGCTGCGGGAGTGGAGGTGCCAAATGCTTCGTGGGCCGGAGGAGGCGCGGCAGCTTCGGGCGGAGGCCTGCCCGCAGGGCCCGCGCACGGATCCTGCTCTGCTCCGCTCGCCGCTGGACTACGCTACCTTCCTCAGAGCAATAGCGGAGCGAAGCATGCTCACTTTTTCCCCTTCGCGAGGGCGTCGGGGCAACGTGGGGATATTTTTCGTGCCAAAGCAGAGTGGTCAGCTCAGAGTCATCTTCGACGCGCGCCTGGCCAACTGCGCGTTCATCGACGCGCCTCGCACCCAGCTGCCGTCGGCGTCAGCCTGGGGGCGGCTCGAGGCGGGCGACGTTCGGTTCTCCATCGCTTCGGCGGACCTCGACGTGCCCGCAATATCTGGCGGCTGCGCGCCGCCGTCCGCGCTGCGCTCCAGAGGCAGGTCATCGGCGGCCCCCTTCTCCGCGTGCTGACGGGCCACATCACGCGGGCGCTGCTGTTGCGGGGGGAGCTGCTGTGCATCCTGGGTGCGACCTACGCTGCTGCCTCTGTGCGCGGCTGACTTCGCGCCACGTGGCATGGGCGAGTTGCTTGCGCGGACGCCTCGCCATTTGGGCTGGGCGCTGTTGTTCGCCGCGCCCCGCAGGACCTCGTGGGCACCATCGGTAGAGTCGCCGAAAAGTGGGGGTACAAGGTCGAGGGCGAGGCTCAAGCAAGGAGTAGGACGGTCGGGCTCGACCTCGGCGTTTCGTCCGCGCCGCTCGGGGACGTCGTCGCCGATCTCGGGGATGGCGCTCGTGCGCCTGGTGATGGGATCGATGACTACTCGTCGTTCGCGGAGGTTCAGGGCGGGGCCCGCGTGGGCCCGTTGGAGCTGCAGTCGCCAGGGCCTCTCGGCGATTCCGAAAAGTCGATCCTGGACATGCGACCTGCCGTGGACTTCGATGAGGTTCCTGCTCGCTTCGTTCGGGGTCATGCCTGGGGCTCGGTTGCCGCGGTGTGCGTCGACTGAAGGGCCAACGTCCTGGCCCTCGAGTCGGGAGCTCTCGTGCTCGGGTATCGGCACCTCCTTCGGTCCACATCTGCGTTCGGGCCCCGCTTCCTAATCCTGTCCGACAACTCACCGTTGGTCTTGTCCGTGGGCAAGGGCTGGGCCCGCAGCGGGCATCTCCAAAGCACGCTTCGCAAGGTCTGCGCCCTCTCCGTGGCCACTGGCCAAACCCTCTCAGCGCGGTGGGCCCCCTCCGAGTCGAAGAAGGTTCAGATCCCAACCGGACGCGCGAGATCCCAACCGGACGGTTCAGATCCCAACCGTCAAGGACACGTGGGGCGCGTGAGATCCCAACCACTTTGGAGCCTTTGAAAAGCTCCAACCTCTGCAAGGTTCTGCGAGCCACTGAGAGATTCTGAGAGCTTCTGAGAGATTCTGAGAGATTCTGAGAGATTCTGAGAGGTTCTGAGAGATTCTGAGAGATTCTGAAAGATTCTGAGAGATTCTGAGAGATTCTGAGAGATTCTGAGAGATTCTGAAAGATTCTGAGAGATTCTGAGAGATTCTGAGAGGTTCTGAAAGATTCTGAGAGATTCTGAGAGATTCTGACACTTTCTGACAGATTCTGAGAGATTCTGAGGGGTTCTGAAAGATTCTGCTACTACTCATTAATATTATTATTACTACTACTACTACTACTACTATTACTACTACTACTACTACTACTACTACTACTACTACTACTACTACTACTACTACTACTACTACTACTACTCTTACCAACATACTACTACTACTACTACTACTACTACTACTACTACTACTACTACTACTACTACCACTACCACTACCACTACCACTACCACTACCACTACCACTACCACTACTACCAGTACTACTACTACTACTACTACCACTACTACTACTACTACGACTACTACTACTACTACTACTACTTATACCACTACTTCTACTACTATTTCTATCATGTCTAGTCCTGCTACTATGCCTGCTACTATGCCTAGTATCATCGCTATTACTACATGCTGCTACGACTACTACGACTACGACTACGCAGACTACTACTACTACTACTACTACTACTACTACTACTACTACTACTACGACTACTACTACGACTACTACTACAACTACTATGACTATTACTAGTACTACTACTACCACAACGACTATTACTGTTACTACTACTACTACTACTACTACTACTACAACTACTACTACGACCGCTACTACTACAACTACTACTCTTACTACGACTACGACGACTAGTAGTAGTAGTAGTAGTACTACTACTACGACTACTACTACTACTACTACTACAACTACTACTACTACTACTACTACTACGACGACCACTACTACTACTCCTACTCCAACTACTACTACTACTACTACTACTACTACTATTACTACTACTACTACTACTACTAACACTACTACTGCTACTACTACTACAACTACTACTACGGCTACGACTACTACTGCTAGTACTACTACTACTATTAGTACTACTACTATCACTACGACTACTACTTTCACTACTACTACTACTACTACTACTACTACGACTACTACTACTTCCACTACTACTACCACTACTACTACTACCACTACTACTACTACTACTACTATTACTACGACGACGGCTACTACTACTACTACTGCTGCTTGTAGTACTACTACTACCACTACTACTATTACTACTACTACTACTACTACTACTACTACTACCACTAATATTACTACTACGACTACTACTATTACTACTACTACTACTACTACTACTACTACTACTACTACTACTAATGCTACTGTTACTGCTACTGCTACTGCTACTACTTCTCCTACAATTACTTCTGCGACTACCACTACTACTAGTGTTACTACTACTACTAGTACTACTACTACTACTACTACTACTACTACTACTACTGCTACGACTACTACTACTACCAATACTCAGACTTCTAGTCGTAGTACATCTACTATTCCTAGTATCGCTATTACTGCTACTTTTACAGCAACTACTACTTGTACGACTATACCCTCCACAAGTACTACTACTAATACTACGGCTTGTAGTGTTACTACCACTACTAATACTACTACACCCTCCAACTACTACTACTACTACTACCACTACTACTACTACTGCTACTACTACTACTACTACTACTACTACCACTACTACTACTACTACTACTATCATTCCCGCTACAATTCCTAGTTCTATTACTATGACTACGTACTGCTACGACTACTACGACGACGACGACGACTACTACTACTTTTATTTCCACTACTACTACTACTACTACTACTACTCCTAGTACTACGACTACTACGACCTACTACTACGACTACTACTACGACTACGACTACGACTACTACTACTACTACTACTACTACTACTACGACTACGACTATTACGACTACTACTACTACTACTACTACTACTACTACCAATACTCCTACTCATACTCATACTACTACTACTACTACTACTACTACTACTACTACTACTACTACTACTACTACTACTACTACCACTACTACAACTACTACTACGACTACTACTACTACTACTGCTACTACTACTACCACTACTGCTAGTACGACGACTACTACTACTATACTACTACTACTACTACTAACTACTACTACTACTACTACTACTACTACTACTACTACTACTACTACTACTACTACTACTACTACTACTACTACTACTACTACTACTACTATTACTACTACTACTACTACTACTACTACTAGTACTACTACTACTTTCACTACTACTACTACTACAACTACTACTAAATGCTACTACTACTAACTACTACTACTACTACCACTACCAATACTACTACTACTACTACTACTACTACTACTACTACTACTAATAGTAATACTACTCCTAGTACTACTACTCCTAGTACTACTACTATTATTACTACTACTATTAGTACTACTACTACTACTACTACGACTACTACTACTTCTACTACTACTACTACACATACTACTACTATTATTATTTCTTCTACTACTACTCCTACTCCTACTACTACTACTACGCCTACTACGCCTACTACTACTACTACTACTACTACTACCACTTCTACTACTACTACTACTACTACTACTACTACTACTACTACTACTACTACTACTACTACTACTACTAGTATTACTACTACTACGACTACTACTACTACTACTACTACTACAACTACCAGTTCTACTTCTACCACTACTACGATCCAGCAAAAGACGCGCGAGATCCCAACCGCAATAACTCAGGCGTAGATCTGCTCCTGTAAGGTGTTCATCGCAATTTCAGATAGCAATGAACAAGTATGGTAAAATTTCAATATGTTTTCTTTATTCGCTTCCTCTTCGGTTGGGATCTGACCGTGCCTGGTGTTTATGACGGTTGGGATCTGAACCGTCTGGTTGGGATCTCACGCGTCCGGTTGGGATCTGAACCCATCGCCCTCCGAGTCCAACCCCGCAGACGCGCGCAGCCGTTGGCGCGCTGGCTGGTTCTCGGGCAGCCGGACGGCCCCGCGGCCCCCTGGAGGCGGGCTGGTGGCGCATGCGGCTGCTCGTGTCGCTGCTGACTTTGTCCCAGATCGTCGTGTACGGCGCCGGGCGCCGCTTGGATTGGACGAGCCATGCGAGCCTGGACCAGGCGCTGGTGGAGTTCATGGACAACGAGTTCCTCATCGGCACCGTCGGCAACCAGGGGAACGGTCTCTTGGCGGCGGTGGTGCACCTCTTCGGGTCCTTCCGCATGCGGACCCGCGTGCCGCTGGCAAAAGCTCCTCGAGCCGCAGCGGCATGGTCGCGGCGCGCTCGGGCCTTGCCCCGATGGCTGCTGCCGCGCCACGTGGCGCCCGCCTGGGTCGGCCTCCTGATCCACGACGGCCCTCCCGGGCTGGCCCGCTGCATCCTCGTCGCGTTCGCCTCGTACCTCAGGCACGGGGAGGCGGCGAAGCTATGCAGTCGCCACCTCGTTGCGCTGTCCGAGGCGGCGGGCCCAGGCCACCAGTTCTCCGGGCTGCTCCTGCGCGAGGGCGGAGAGGGGCCAGGCAAGCCGGGCGTGAGCGACGAGCGACCGCTTGCCCTTGCTCACCCCTCTACTGCCGGCACTGAGGTTGTCCACTACGCCCTCGGCGCCGCTGTGGGGACAGGAGATGAGTCGCCTCGGCACGTTGTTCAGCCTCGCGGGTCGGCCGCTGTCGCTGGATCGCCTTCGCCCCCACCTGTGCAGCCTGCGCCATGGGGCAGCCTCGAACGACATGCTCTCCCAGTGGCGTCTGCTGGCCGAGACTCAGCGGCGATGGCGTTGGCGGACTACCAAGAGCTTGAACCGCTACACCAGGGAGACCAAGCTCCTGGACGGGATCTCCTTGTTCCCGCCAGAGGTCATGGAGCTCGGGGCCTTTGTCGAGAGCGGCCTCGTGGCGCGGGTCAGCGGCCGCCTGCCCGGCTGGCCGGCGACTGGCCTCGTCCCGGCCGTCGTCGCAGCCTTGCGCAAGGCGCCGGCGCCCACCTCCCAGCGCGGCCGCTCGAGAGGGCGGGCGGCCCTCAGGCCACCAGCGGCAGACTGGGCACCCCATGCGCCAGTTGGACGCGCGCCTTGCGGCGCCCGCTCAGATCTGACAGCCATCCGCTTGGGCTACCCTGCCTCTCAGTGGCAGAGCAGGCCCGAGTGGCTGCCGGGAATGCCACAGTGCGTGCGACTATCACAATAATTATTGCTTGCCTCTCCGCCCACATTCCTGTCTTTCTCGAGAATCCGCAGACCTCGCAGATTTGCTCGCATCCACAGCTCGCTCGTCTGTGTCGCAGATCTTGTTGGCACAAATCAGTATTGCACCACTGCCAGTTCGGGGCAGCGTATAAGAAAGCTACCACCATCATGTCTTGGGGCGCCAGCTCCACGCTCTCGCTGGAACGTCTGTGCAAGGGTAAGAGAGGCATCTGCAGCATAACTGGCAATCATCATGCGATTTTAGAGGGCAACGACGCGCAGGGGCGAAAGCGCACCGCGGTTGCCGCTGAGTACCCTCGCCCTTTCGCTCAGGCCGCCACTCGATGCATCATTGATGCGATGCACGTGCAGCCTGGTCTTGCCCTCCTGTCTCGTGCTATGAAATGATCTTGTGGTTGTATGTACGGGCTGCGGCCAATTGTACCTTCGGGATCGGGCGCGGGCCACACAGGTGGTTCTCCCGAGCGCCGGCGCGTTCCAGGCCCAGCCTCTGCCGCCTCCCCGCTCGATCGGCTCCAGATAGTGCCTGGCCCTGTGGTGTCCCAGAAGGAACAGGATCCTGGCCCGGGAGCCGTCGCGAGCTGGTAGTTGCCACAATTGAGTGTTGAGCAGAGGCTGAGGTCCGACGCGCTCATAATTTGGCCCTTAGTTTTTCCAGTTGCCATCCCGACTCGCCTCCTCGCCAGATTTGAGGGGCGCGGGCCACGCAGGTGGTTCTCCCGAGCGCTGGCGCGCTCCAGGCCCAGCCTCTGCCGCCTCCCCGCTCGATCGGCTCCAGATGGTGCCTGCCCGTGCTGTGTCCCAGAAGGAACAGGATCCTGGCCCGGGAGCCGTCGCGAGTTATGTATATATACACATACATACATACATACATACATACATACATACATACATCCATCCATCCATACATACATACATACATACATACATACATACATACATACTACATACATACATATGGAAATGTGTGAAATTGGGATGCCGAGGCCCCAGATGGAGCGCACGACGCAGAAGTGTCCAAAGGGCGGCCATCCCCCCTGCAGTGAAACACTGGCCAGCTTCGCACCCGACTGGGCATGGACAGCACCTTGGAGCCGAAGTTCCCTTCAGTGGACACACCCGGGAGCCAGATGCCCCCCAAAATATGAGATTTGGATTTCGCATTGAATGCCCGTGCGTGAGTTCCACTTCGCGCTTTGGCAGCCTGCGGCGGTGAGCCGCCACTCTTTCTTCTCCCGGTATTCGTTGTATTGCCGCCGCCTCCTTGGATTGAGTTCTCGCCAGTCCGCGTCCCAGACCTCCCATTGGTCGAACGCATCCCAATGCTCCTGCTGCTGCACACGGGTCAGCAGGCTCGTTTCCCCATAGCGCTTGATCTCGTGCTCCTCGAAGAGCTCGTCCTGGCCCTTCTTCTTCTTCTTCTTGCAATGCCAGATGGCATGCTTGAAGTGGCCATATTGGTTCAGGCCACGGGGCTGCTGCAGTGGGGCGGTATTACCTGTGTTCCGCAATCGACGGAAGAATTTGTTCCCTTCATCCGTCGGGGACGTGTCGATACCCCACGCCCCCCGTCTTCGGCATCTCTGGCCCCGGAGGGCCACTACCATGCTCGCTCGGTGCCAGTGCGAGCGCAGCCCCTGTGCTCACCTTCGTCGCGTGGGACGGGCACGGCCCCCGCGCGCTTTTGCGCGCCGTCCTCCAGTGGAGACCCATGCCAAGGAACGCCCTGCTTGCCTCCATGGTGCCCTGGGTTTCTTGAGGTTCGATGGTTTTGCGATGGAAAGTGCTACGTTTCCACACCAACAATCCGCGGACGCCCTGGGGTCTCAGTGTCAGGTTTTTTGTAGAAGGTTTCTTGTGGACTGGCCTCCACTGTATTCGCCTTCTTCCGCCGACTCTGGGCCCGACGCGCCTCCCGCAGCGCCGCAACCAACTCCTCCGCACGGACTCCAGCCGGCGGCGTCGCCGTGGCGGGGCCCGCCGTCACCGCCTGTCGTCGTCGTCGTCGTCGTCGTCGTCGCAACTGCCCCGGAGCCGGCCTCGGCGGCCGAGTGCACGAGGACATCCGGGACCGCCGGAGCCGCCGCCTGGACAGCTCGCCGCGGCGATTCTGCGAGGACCGCAGCACGGACAGCAGCGCCGAGTAGCGCCGCCGGATCCACGGCCGCCATGGCTCCTCTGCGAATCTAAATTTGGGTTGGGCCTGTACCTCTACAGGAGGAGTATCCGAAAAAAACAAAAAATGTCTGGGGACAATTTTTCTATTATTGTTAAACCAATTGTTGGCTATTTTGGGGTATTTATAATTTGTTCTCCAAAGTCCGCCTGCTGGGGGGACATGCCCGACCTAAATCTAGATGCAGTATCCGGAAGCCCAGCCATCGCTTGAGCCAGGAGGTATGTAATTTGCTTGGTCACGCCCATATTGTGGGGATGTCTACGGCGGTTTGCCTGTGTGGTTGACCAGGCTTCTCTCTTTTCAGAGAACCATGCCCATCGCGATGAGCAGGCGTGGTACTTTAGCACCCCAAGGCAAAGCAGCCACTGGGTAGGACCTGTGTCCAGTTGCGCCCAGCTGGTGGGGATGTATCAGGCGGTCTGCTTGTTTGGTTGATCCGGATTTTCTTTTTCAGACCCAAATGTTCATCGCGATGTAGCAGCCGTGGCGTTTGAGCACCCCAAGGAGAAGCCGCCAGTGGGTAGAACGTTTGCCCGTTCGCGCCCTGATTATATGTATGTCTTAGGCGGTGTGCCTGTTTGGTTGGCCAGCCTTATTTGGCTTCAGAGCCCCATGCTTATCGCGATGCAGCAGGCCTGGCACGTGAGCAGAACCCAAGGAGGAGCCGCCAGGGGGTATGACACGTGCCCGTTCGCGCCCAGCCGGAGGGAATGTCTCAGGCGGTGTGCCTGTGTGGTCGACCAGCCTGCTTTCGCTTCAGGGCCCCATGCTCATCGCGTTGCAGGAGGCGTGGCACATGAGCGCCCCAAGGAAGGAGGGGCCGTCAGCGGGTGGGCCAGTTGCCAGTGTGCACCCAGATGGTGAGAACGTCTCAGCCAGTCTGCTTCTTTGGTTGATCTGACTCTCCCTCTTTGATTGGAGCTCACTGCTCATCGCGACGTCGCAGACGTGGCACTGGAGCGCCCAAGGAGGAGCTGTCAGGGTTGGGGTAAATTGCCCGCTCGCGTCCAGATTGCAATATCCTATGTGTTTGTGTTCCCCACACTCAGGTGTGGGATTATTGCTGCTTCTTGAACGCCTCCGTTTCCAGTCTCACTCCCGCCGTCTTCTCCCGCACACACTGAAATCATTCATGCTAAAACCCAGTCGTATTTGAATAACACATACTTCGACACACTCAGATTTCGACTCACTCAGACTCAGCTTCGCTCCCACTCAGATTCACTCACACCCAGATTCACCCTCAGACCCAGTCGTACTCAGGTTCTCTCATATTATGATACACTCCGAATCAAATACACTCATGCGTAGATGCGTCCGCACTCAGAGTCACTCGCCACACTCCGACAAATACAAACTCAGAGCCGCGCACGTTCAGACTCATTCACAGTCACACTCACCCGCATAGACCATTCACACCCAGGCTCGCCTCACATTCGACGTGTGAGGATGTCTCGTGCGAGGCGCTGCTTTCAGCACCCCAGGAAGGAGCCGCTTGGGAGTAAAACGTGTGCCCGTTCGCAGCCAGATTGTGGGGACATCTCAAGCGGTGTGCCCGTTTGGTGGCTTGGACGCGGGCGCATTCGGAGGGGAGTATGAGGATGCCTCGGTCGAGGCGCTGTGTTCAGCACTCCAAGGAAGAGCCGCGCCAGGGGGCAGGACATTTGCCCGTTCGCGCCCAGTTTGCGAGGACGTCTCGGGCGGGTTGCCTGCTTTGCAGCTTGAAGGTAGGTGTTTTCAGAACAGATTGCGAGGAAGTCTCGAGCCAGGCGCTGGCTTCCGCAACTCAGGCGCCCAGTTCGTGGGGATGTATCCAGCCAGGCGCTCGGAGGACGGAGGAGGACGGAGGCGGACGCAGGAAGAGGGAGAAGGGAAGAGGGAAGAGATGGGAGGGGGTTACGACGAGTAGTAAGTGGAAGGAGCGGGGCAGGGGGCCTGCTCACCGCCTGTTTCGAGTTGTCGTCGTCGCAGTCCCTCATCGTAGCCGCCGCCGCCGTCATCGTCGTCGCCGTGTTCGTCGTCCACTCGGGCTCGCACTCACGGCCAGTCATTCATAGTGGGACGTGCCACGAAATGAGATGCACATATGGGGATCCCCACGTCGAGCAATTCAAAGTGGGGTTGGCGCTGCAGCGTTGGCTTCATTTTCGGATCGGAACTTTGCCCCGTCTTTCAGCATGGCGCTCTCGCCCCAGCGCTGACCATCGTTTTCTGAATCATTTCCTCATCGTTGTCGCCCCCATCCTTTCCCCCCTCTGCCTTCGCCTGATCCTCGTACTGATTACCCTCCTACTCCAGGTCCTGCTGCTGCTGTCCTTCCTCGTCCTCATCCTTCTCTTTGTCCTCCTGTTCATCCTCCTGCTCATCCGCCACTTCCTGGAAATGAACGCATCTCTTCTGCGATTGCCCAAAACAGGGGGGTCCGTTTTGGAAGTCCAGATCCGCCATGGCACGCGTCGGCGGATAGAGAAGAAATCAATGTAGTGGGAAGAGATGTGTGGGGGGGGGGGCAAGATGCCAACTATGGCGCGAGCGCGCCTAGCTTGTCGTTCCTCGTCTCCGTCGTTCCGTTCCGACTCCTCCCTTTCCGTTCTCGTCCCCCTGTCGTCCCTCCCCCCTCCCTTTTTCATCGCCACTCCTCCCACGCCTCATCCCGCCCTCGTCCCCATTCCCCGCGTCTTTCCCCCACACCTCTCGCCTCCTCTATACACCTCTCTCCACCGCCCCACCCTCCCCCCGCACGTCGGTCCGAGTCCGAGCGGGCGATCACCAGCATTCCAGCCTACCGCGCCAAGTACGGCGTGGAGTCCGCGTACCCCGTCAGCGTCGTGGCGCGCCTTCAGGGCAGGCGCGCCCAGCTGCAGCAGGATCGGCCCCCCGGCGAAGGCGCGGGCCCTCCGCCGCTTCCCGGCGTTTTCTGCGCAGGCGCGGCTTCGCGGCCAAACGTCTTCGGACGTCTTCCTCGGCTCCAGGGGCCGTCTCCTGCCTCGGGATGCATTCCAGCAGCTTCGAATCGCCGACAGCGTTCCGGGGTTGCCCGAGACGACCCGCACGGCCGCCAGAGAGTTACGGCTTGGAATTTTGACTCGGCGTGTCGCGCCGTGTTCTGGCCCACCACGCTACGGCGCGAAACGCTAACCACGTCCCACGCTACGGTGCACAATTATCCTTCTCCTCTTACTCCTCCTTCTCCTGGTCCTCCTCCCTCTTCTCCCTCTCCGACTGCTTATCCTCATTTTCCTCCTCCTCCTCGTGCTCCTCCTGCTCCTCCTACAACTGCTTTCAAGCACTAGGCGGGCGCAGCGCCGTGGGACCACTGTTTGGCTCCAACTCGCCCGCGCCAGCCAGCTTCCCGCCTTCTCGTCGGCGCTCGGGGGACACCAGGGCAGCTGGACAGCGGTTGCGAGCTGTTGTCTCGCAATTGCAATGTTCAGCCACTCCTGGTGACGAAGGGAAGCGAATTTCATAGTCAGCTACGGTCAGAGAGTGTAGGAAACAGTGGCAGAAAACCCTGTCGCTGTCAGGGGTGCAGGTTCTTAGCGTCAAGAGGTGAACAGGCGGGTTCATCAGCTACACCGCTGCGACTGTTATCCAGTTTTGTCAGCTTCAGTGTCAATTTCTCCCACTGCAGCATGGTGAGTGGATTGTCTCGCTTGCGTTACACGCCCAGCAGGAGCCATGCCTCATCAGCTACAACTCTGGAAATCTTCCGTCTCCGCCTGGGGAGGGCATTCCAGTTCGTTTATGTTGGCGTGTCTGGTGGCTTCGGATTTGTTTTTGAATTATGGGTTTCGTCAGCCAGAGCGCTGGAATATCCCGTCGCCGCCAGGGGAGGGCGTTGCAGCTTGTTGCTGCTGGATCTCGCATTGATTATATACTTTGCTTCCTGGCCGCGTCAGGAGTTGGGCATTTACTCAATTGTGTGTTCGGGCTGATAAAAAATGTCAGAGGCCGTGCATAGTGCCATGGCAATGTGTGTGCAGTCCTTGTGCAACGGCAGGTTTGGATGAATGAAGTTGCGCCTGTGGTATGGTTATTTGGCGAGGTTGTCTGTGGAGGAGGCGAGCTCAGTAACCGCGCTGCTTTCGCGAGCTCGGTCGGGGAAAAGTTTGCCCAGTGACCAGCAGGGTTTGCTCGTCATTGACAGGGCCGTATCGAGCCAACTTCACCTCAATTCTGTACGCTTCGCGTATCCCCACCAGCCCATCTCACAACAGCAACTCTTGCGAAGCATGCCGACAGTCGTGTTGTTCAGGCGTGTGTCCGCTTGGCCCCGCATATCTCCCCTGTTACTCCTTCCTCCCGCCTCCTTGCACATCCTCCTTGTGGGGGGAGCGGGAAAAGGACGAGGCGGAGGAGGAGGGAGAGAAAGCGCTCGTCGTGGTTTGAGTCGTTTGGGGTGTCTCGTCCTGGTGTGAGTCGTTCGGGCCCTTCTTCCTGGTGTGAGTCGTTCGGGCTCTTCGTGGTGTGAGTCGTTCGGGCGCCTCGTCCTGGTGTGAGTCGTTCGGGCCCCTCCTTATGGTGTGAGTCGTTCGGGCTCTTCGTGGTGCGAGTCGTTCGGGCCCCTCGTCCTGGTGTGAGTCGTTCGGGCTCCTCGTGGGGCCTCTTGGGGGCCTCTTGGAGCCTCTTGGGGCCTCTTGGGGGCCTCTTGGGGGCCTCTTGGGGGCCTCTTGGGGGCCTCTTGGGGGCCTCGTGGGGCCTCTTGGGGGCCTCTTGGGGGCCTCTTGGGGGCCTCTTGGGGCCTCTTGGGGGCCTCTTGGGGGCCTCTTGGAGGCCTCTTGGGAGGCTCCTGGGGGCCTCTTGGGGCCATCTTGGGGCCTCTTGCGACCTCCTCTGAAGCGCAAAGGAGCGCTGCCCCCTGAGAAGGACAAAATGAGCCCAAAACCTTCGTAAAATCAATGATGTTGCTATGAAGGAAGAGGAGCGCGGCCCCCTCAGGAGGCCAAAATGGGGCCAAAACCGTAGCAACATCAATATTACCTAACAGCGAAGACTGATAGGTTTCTAGTTGACTCAAAAGAGCTCACAGATCACTCCACAGGGGGGTCCGGGCAGGCGTTGGGAGTTGCCGGCCGTTCACCAACAGTCACACACTTCGTGCTCGTCGACCTCTCAGAACCCCATTCCCAGGCCACATTCTGAATAACCGGATGCAACAGTCACACACTTCGTGCTCTTCGACCTCCCAGAACTCCATTCCCGGGCCACATTCTGGAATGCCCGGAGCCAACTGTAGGCCACTTCGTGTCTTCGAGTTCCCAGAACTCCATTCCCGGGCCACATTTTGGATGCCCGGAGCCAACTGTAGGACACTTCGTGGTCTTCGAGTTCCCAGAACTCCATTCCCGGGCCACATTTTGGATGCCCCGAGCCAACTGTAGGCCACTTCGTGTTCTTCGAGTTCCCAGAACTCCATTCCCGGGCCACATTTTGAATGCTGAGGCAGGCTGATGCTGAGGCTGAGGCAGGCTGAGGCTGAGGCTGAGGCAGGCTGAGGCTGAGGCCGAGGCTGAAGGCAGACTGAGGCTGAGGCTGAAGCAGGCTGAGGCTGAGGCTGAGGAGGCTGAGGCTGAGGCTGAGGCAGGCTGATGCTGAGGCAGGCTGAGGCTGAGGCTGAGGCTGATGCAGGCTGAGGCTGAGGCAGGCTGAGGCTGAGGCCGAGGCTGAAGGCAGACCGAGGCTGAGGCTGAAGCAGGCTGAGGCTGAGGCTGAGGCAGGCTGAGGCTGAGGCAGGCTGAGGCTGAGGCTGAGGCAGCCTGAGGCTGAGGCTGTGACTGTGACTGCCGTTGCCACTGCGACTGTCATCGCCAATGCGACTACGACTGCGAGAACAGCAGAATTCTACAACTGGATTCTCATATGAATCTTAAGGGGAATGCTTCCAGATATGCTCCTACACATCGCTGTTAGGTTGCTTTGCCGGGATAATTTTTTGCTTCAAAGACGAGCAGAGGGGCCAAACTCCCTCCCCCCGTCGGGGCCAGAATCCTCGTGAGGGTAGTCGTTCTTTGGCCCTCCCAGGAGTCGAAAAAGACCCCCCTGACTACGCTCGGCCCGCCCTCTCCAGGTCCGGGGGGAGGGGGTAGGGGGAGGGGTAAACCCCTCCCCGAAGGGGAAGAAGGGGGGTTAAGGACAGAGCGGGCTCTCTAAACCACTCACGCCCAAAGGGCTGGTGGGATTTAGCCTGTTCTTGTTCTCGGTGTGCGGTGAGGGGTTTTCCAGAGGTATGCGCCGCAGTGGTCGTTTTCCTCTGGCTCCTGTATTTCCTCTCCTTCGTCCTCTGCTTCGGTTTCTTCTTGTTCGGGTTCAGGGGGCGGCCATGGGACGTTGTGCTTTCGCATCGCGACGGGGCCAACGCTTATTATTATTCAATCGCTCCGCTCACTCCGCCGGCCCATGTTGCATGATCGCTACTGCTTCGCCGTGGGCCCGGGGCCATTGTGGCGCCGCCGAGGAGGAAGAAGATGAGGATGGGGAAGGGGAGGGGAGGAGGAGGAGAGGATGAGAAGGAGAGGAGGAGGATGAAGATAAGTAGGAGGTGGAGGAGGAGGAAGAGGAAGGGGCGGAGGAGGAAGCCTCTCATTGGCATCTTGTGTTGCTCTTGGGGCCAAACAGGGTCGTCGTCAAGATGCTTCTTTGGGAGGCCTCTTGGGGTCGTTTGAGAAGCCGTTCGGGGGCGCCTGGGAGGCATTTTTGAAGCCTTTTGGGGGGCCTCCTGGGGGCCTCCTGGTGCCTCTTGGCGGCATCTTGGGGCCTCTTGGGGGCCTCTCGGGGCCTCCTGGGGCTTTCTTGGGGCGGAAGGCGTGAGGTTTCAGTTCGTGGTCCCCCTCTTGGGGCCCCTCTTGGGGCCGTCTTGGGGCCGCCTTGGGCCGTCTTGGGCGCCTCTTGGGCCGTCTCGGGGCCCTCTTGGGCCCTCTTGGGGCCCTCTTGGAAGCCTCGTGGCCCGTCTTGGGGCGCTCTTGGGGGCCTCTTGGGCCGTTTTGGAGCATCGGATGGCCGAAAAGGGGACAAGGCCCAAATCCGTCCAAAATTATCATAAAATTCTAGACGCTTCGCGTATCCCCACCAGCCCGTCCAGAAATGAGTCCCAGGGGAGTGGAGGTTATGAGGGAAGCGGGGGAGCATGCAGAAGAACAAAGGGCGGGGTGAGCCGCCATATGCCCCAAGAGGGGGAGGATGTAGGAGGAGCCGTCGTCGTCGGAGTAGGAGGAGGAAGAGGAGGAGCAGGAGGAGGAGCAGGAGGAGGAGGAGGAGGAATAGAAGGAGGAGGAGATGGAGGACTGCGAGGACGAGGAGGACGAGAAGGAGGAAAAGGAGAAGGAGGAGGAGGAGGAGGAGGAGGAGGGGGAGGGGGAGGAGGGAGGAGGAAGAAAAAGAGGAGGAGGAGGAGGAGGAGGAGGAGGAGGAGGACAATTGCGAGCTTGGGGGCCTCTTGGGCCGTCCTTGGGGCCTCTTGGCGGTCCCGGGGGCCTCTTGCGTATCTCGGG